ATAATATCTATGTTTATTAAACTTTTTTATTTCTTTTTCTTAGGGAGGCATGGGGACTTTTTTTTTTTTTTTTTTTTTTTGCGTGGGTCATACGTGTAGGTGCCATGCTAAACTKTTTCAACGAGTTTGTGCATCCAGATTGAAGGCATTGGTGCTGAAAACTGTGTACTGGATATCTTCTTTTTTTAACTGGAATTTATTTGAAAATTGAAGCATGTCACTGGATTTTTTTATTTTTTATTTTTTATTTTTGAAGTGGAAGCATGTGTTCTTAGATGCATTTGTTAGTCTCTTTCTTTCTTTTTTTTTTCTTTTTTTTTGTTAGTCTCTTTCTTGATATTGTTGTTTTATGATGTCGATTTTGTGCAAGAGAAAAGATTGTTATTGACATCGAGATCTACGGTGATGATTGACTTGTGGGCTATCTATGCAGCATTCTTGATCCTCTGTCGGCGGCGGTGGTGGTGAGAGAGGGTACTCTGCGAGGAGACAAAGGTATTCGCTCGGAAATGGATGTCAGCCATCAGAAGTATCTTATTCGTGCTTTGTCCCTGGCGAGGCAGGAAGCTGGACTCATCACTCTAGGGATTTTCTGTCTGCTGGTGACCGCTGGCTCATCGCTCATCCTGCCCAACTATCAGGTTAGCAAGCGTTTACTGTCGGTCCCTAGACTCCCTCCACACAAAGGCAAAGGTCTTGAGATATCATCATCAAACTGACCAGCCCTACTGTCTTCACCCGAATAGAACGCCCGGTCATTATCGCAATACAGCTATAATGACTGGGCGTTCTATTCAGGTGAAAACAGTAGGTGATTGAGAACTTGGTATTTCACGCATCTGCTTCCAGTGGAGTTAGAACTCTGCACCTGGTCTGTATTTCAACAATTCAGGGGTGTGTGTATCGGCTGAGCTAGGCCAGGTTTTTTTTTTTTTTTTTTTTTTTTTTAATTAGGACCATTTGGTCTTGATTCATGCGTGTGTCATCGTTGTGCAGAGGCCATGCCTCTTCTCTGTATCGTTCCAATTTTAATGGATGTCCCGGATGACTATGTCCTTGGACTTTTCACCTCTGTGATTGACACTTGTAATCTAGTTTGGCACGCACTGTTGAATTCTAGTAGCCTTTTTTAATCCTTGGAATTAATCCGAATTATATTATTATAACCTCCGGAAATAGCACTTTTGATTGCTTGTCATATCTTGCAATTTTAATTTCAATCTGTAATGAAAAAGTTTGTACGAAATTTTAACTCTGTTTTGGGCACTTTTTTTTGCAACCCACTATTTTCTTCAATGGTTTCCTTTCATCAACGAGCATAACATATCCGGACTCCGGAGCGAGTCTGTCTCTCTCACTGTAACTGACATGATCTATGGTCATGTTTTGCACTTAATGGTCGTGTTTCGCACCATAGACCTTGAGACTTCACACGTTGATGACCAGGATTGAAGAATCCGGGTTAGTGGGACATTGCCCCAGGACTGTAGGCATACGCGGTCAGATATTGGTTTTGATTCTTTTGATACAGTCATTCCTTACTTCCTTCATTTAGATTCAATCTGGATTTGAAATCTGGTCTGCATTTCAACAGGTCATGGCTGTGGCGACTGAGCTAGAGAGTCATTTGTAATATCATGTGGCGCGAGAGGTATAATCTGGAGTGGGTAATACAGGGTGCATGTGTTCCTCTGATGGCGATGATGTGGATGTTGGGAAGGATGCGAACTAATGACGATGACGATGACGATGGTGATGATGATGATAGTCTTCCTTTGTTGAGCACGGTGTCTGATTTGAATGCGTAACTATATGGTATGGTCACTATGGTTTGCGGTCCTTTTGTGCATGGAAGTATAGTGGACTGTGTAACACCAAGTGATGTCCAAGGCCACAGACGGAATGTGCTCGACCCATGGTGATGATAATTATGATTATGATAACTATCACGATGATGATGATGATGATGATGATGATGATGATACCATTGTTCGTTGAAGTACAGTTTCTGGTTTGTATTCTTAAACCACGAGTACTTTCGAGGCACTTTTCTCCGGGGCTGGGATGCCCTTTGTGCCCAAAAAAAACAGAATGATGATGATGATGATGACTAAAATGATACCATTGAGTTGAACAGGACTTCTGATTTGAATGCTTAAACTGCCAGTACTTTCGAGGTACTTTTCTCGGGGGCTGGAAAGGCCTTGCTTGCCAACTTGCCAAGTAAATACAAACGGCCACCAGCCATTTCCTGAGGCCGAGCCTGGGCACTTTCTGGCTGCATGCAAGCCGCGTACTTCAGTACCTCAACGTTTTTAGGGCCGTTAACGCGGTGGCGAATCGGTGTGCCTCGTGCGTCCAGATGCATTTGCATCAGAGTTCCCCAGAGGGGGCCTAAGACCCCTGTACCGGTGGTGTAACCGAACTACTCCAGGGGGTGCGCTGCACTGTTCATTTTTCTTGTCTACAATATCGGGCCAAAATCTATACAGTGCCCTCAGCCCTGATCCAATAGAGGTGCGGTGGGGGGGGGTAAGGGTGCCACAATTATTTTTCCTCACGACGGCACTGTATTTGTTTAGGCTGGGGGAAATGGAGCCTTCGGTTTGTCAAAATTACATCTGGATGGAGTGGTGGTTTTTCAAGTATTATAGTACGGTGTGTGCATTTCGTGCGCAGGGAAGTATACTCGACCGGGTCATTCAAAGCGATGTCCCAGGCTTCAGAGCGGATGTGGTGCTGCTTATTGCGTTTAGCTTTGTCAATGGTGTGTTTGGCGGAATCCGAGGACTGTGCTTCTCGATGGTCGCCAAGAGGGTGTTGAAAACATTGCAAGATCGCCTCTTCAGGGGAGTGATTACGCAGGACATCGCGTACTTCGACGCCACAACATCTGGGGAGGTAAGGTGGTCATTCCATGGGGTGAACCTACAGGCGATTCGGTACAAACAGTCGCTTCATTTGATGTATATATAGTTTATACTAACTCTATAGATCT